ATACGGAACATAATAATTATTGTTTTGTAATTCTTTACGTCAATGAGTAATTAGTAATTTATTATATAGAAACTATCTAATATCTAATTTATTTATATAAAACAATTATTAGTATTTTCTTTTTTAAAATATGAATATTTTTGGGTAGATTCGCCTTTATTTTCTAACCGATTTTCGTAACAGTTTGTCTATTGTCATAGAAACGCAAATCAACAACAAAAACAAAAATAAAACAATTAACTCAATTCCTAACAACTACATGTAACATATGTTTGCATGTAAAATTACTACCTACTTGATAATTTTTATCTGCTCAAAAACATATATATATATGATCCCTCAATTTTCCTGCAGTGGAAAAATATCAAGTAGGATGGTAGATTAGGATTTTTTATTTGTTTAATATGTTGGGTATTATCGGATTCTAATATTTTTGTTCTATTTGGTATGGAATATCGATTCCCCACCACTCAGGCCCATTAGCTCAGTTGGTTAGAGCGTCGTGCTAATAACGCGAAGGTCGTGGGTTCGATCCCCCCATGGGCCAAATATTTTTTCATTTTTTATCATTTGAATGTGGATGAATAGAGTTGTTTATTATTTTTTAGTTATTACAATATTATTTATACAATGTAAATTACAATTTCTATTTTATTTATACTTTTTCTATAAGTTCGGGTTGACTTATCACACTGAGCGTTTGAAGTAACCTTATATTTTATATGCTGTAAATCGTTTGTTGTTGATAGCTTGGATGGGCTACTTATTATTTTGATTTCTTTATATATTTTCAAAACGTAAAGAAAAACTATATCAATAATTGATTAAAAAAAAGACTGCTCTGATTCACATTAAAGGTCACGTGGGTCACTGCCCACGTTTAATTACTTTAATTTTAAGTCAATGATATAAAATTGTTGTATACGAAAAAGATTCTGATCGATGACCAGTGGCGGGTTTAAGGGAGGGGCTATGGGGGCATTAGGCCCCCTTGGGACTAGGCTATTTATTTTTCTAAAACAAGTATTATGATACACCTATCAATAGTATCAATAACTATTATATAATATCATAATTGAAGAATATAGTCTCAACTTTCAACAGATAATATTATAATAATATCATTGGAAGATCTTCAAAAGTTAAAAAAAGAAACTTGGAATTAATAATGTAATATAAACAGTGGTGCACATTCAAAAATGAACAGTGGTAGAATATTGGCTTTTAGTCTAATGGCTAAGTCTATATATGCCTATAGTATTTAATAATTTTTTTATACATAGTAGAATAAATTGTTACATTGTGGATATTTTTGGGGCTTGGAGACAACCACCTTTTAAAAAAAATCAGGGGTAGCAACTGCTACCCTTGAACCCTCCAGTGTGCGCCACTGGAGGCGCATATTTATATATAAATATAAATATTTATATTATACAAATATTTGTTTAAATAAACAGTTCATTTTTGTTATTAGGTACATTAATATTACTTACTTTTATAAATGGTTTCAGATGAAAATTGATAACAATATAACTATTTAAAACATGTTGTTATTGTGAAACAAATACATTAAAAAATATGATTTTCATATTAGTAAACACATATTTTTTTTTTTATGGTTAAGGCTTCGACAATTGAGGTCATTAGCCTGGGGAACTGTAGGGGAAGGAACTGTAAGGTTTTAACTTGTGGGTTTTTGGCAGAATTTTGAATGGGCACCCGTGGGTTTCTGACATGCCCGGTTTGGGGGCAGCGGCCTCTCTCTCCAGACATCGCGAAATGCCCAAAGAGCGATGCCGCCCGTGACCGAGATTCGAACCGTCGTAACCTCGTAACCGTCGAACCGTCGCAACCGACGCCTTAGTCCGCTCGGCCACTCCATCCCCTAAACACATATTATGTTAATTAAAATTTTATATAGATTTAAAATACAACTATTTAAATTCTTGAGCCTCAATTAGCCCCCCCCCCTTTGCTGAGTGATAAAAACCCACTCCTGGCCATGACGGTCTTAGGCCTATATTACTAATTATATTTTATAATGTTATTTCATTAATGGAATTTATCTTACCATTAGTAATACAGTAGGTTGAATTAATGTTAGTCCACAGAACAGTATATATTACATTATTTGAAAACATTATTGTGAGTATAAAATATAATAATATATACAGCTTTCAAGGTACTCACGAATAATATTTTTAAATTATGAAAAAATAACTAAAACTATTTAGTTATTCTTATTTCTCAGTTTAAACATCTAATATCGTCTAAATTTTAACTTTAAATATCTATAAAAAAAATTAAAAACTGTGTGAATATTTTTGAGATTTGTTGTTTACAGTATGAACACTATGGCCTTAATATGAGAAGCCGTGCTGTAAATTTTCAATCCTCAGCTAAAAAATTGAACCTTAATCGTGCATAATATTATATTATATGATAACTAATTTAAGTACCTATATTTAATATTTTTGAACTGCCAATTATATTTTAAGTGCTAGTATCATACTATCATGTCCAGGCTTTTTTTTTTTGTTAAATATATTTTATTGGTAGAGCTGGTGTGCAACTGACACGATATTGCATTCGGATAAAAAAATAAATAAATATCACTCGAGTACCGATACTGGTATAATTAGAACTGTTTATTTTGGATGAGTGCCACAATTTGAAAATAAATTGAACGGTTTAAAAATAATAATACTTAATGTTATAGTACTATCTATCATTTTTTATTTTTGTTTTTGTGAAGTATTCAAAATGTAAATTGGTCTAGTAAGTAGGTAGGTAGGTAGACTCTATAATATAAAAGTTGTTAAAACATATGATTATTGTTATGAAATCTTAATTGAAACATAAAAAAATAGTTTGGCTCATGGGGGGATCGAATCCACGACCTTCGCATTATTAGCACGACGCTCTAACCAACTGAGCTAATGGGCCGGATGAATTCGAAGTTATGATTTTTGCCGGGTTGACGAAGACGATATAATAATAAATTATTGTTTATATAGGTAGTTGATTTTATCGAATACCTACAGAGGCTTACCTCGGAAACGGAGACGGAATAGATAATTATTGATATATTATAATGTTCATCATCGTTACATTTAAAGTAACTAGGTAATAATGTATTTATATGTTTTTTGATTATAATTTAAAATAGACGTAGGTTACGGTTATAGGTATGCATAGTAGATAGTAATGAATAATATTATTTTACAAGACGTATTATAATAATACATAAATAATAATAATATAAAAACAAAACAAAATCTGGGCGTATTACCAGGCACCAGCAGATATAATTATTGTAACGGGTTAGGTAAAAATAAGTAAAAATTAATAATTAACAGTTTATGAATATCGAATCGGTTAAATAATAATCCTACAAAAAAAAAAAAATAAATATTGGAAACACTTATAACAGGGGTCTTCAACCCGCGGCCCGCGATCACATTTTAAATTTAGCATGTTCATTTTATAATTCAATAAAATTATAACAGTTAAGCTATCGCTATCGGAAATATGCGATATAAAAAATTTGTAATTAAAAAAAAATGTTTATCTATAAATGTTTTAATAGTAATAATAATTTGTAATTTTAAATGCACCTTCCTAATTTTAAAAATTGTAATAATAAAACTGCATTTTTATATAAAATACATGTTTTTACTACGAATGCAGCCCGCAAGATTTAAAAAAATAATATGTGGCCCGCTGCATAAAAAGGTATAGAAGGGAAAGGGAAGACCCCTAACTTATAAGGATGAAACAGAAACCACCCCCTCTCTGAGCACTCGTCGTCAGGATAGGGTATGCGCTGTATATGACTATACGCAGAATAGCGGCAGCGTGTGTGCAGATGAACTCTTTCAAATTATTATTATTATTATTACTATTAAACCGTATACCTATAATAGATTGGATAAGTCCATATCAGTATATAATAGATACCTATCTCATATACACATATTATATTATATGTATTATAAGCATATTAATAATATATTATATATGAATTATCTATACGGCTATACAAAATCTAAACCATATAATATAAACCGAATATACAGAATTTTTTTTTTCAATAAAATATAAGGAGAGGTCTGCGAGTGTATAAATGTATATCTCGCGTATTATAGATATACAGGAATCGTATGTATGGAATCGTATTTTTTATTTTTATTACATAATCGAGAATCTCGATAATAGGATTTTAAATCACGGCTTTATAAACTGTCGTTTAATAATTGGGTATAAAATAAAAACAGAGAGCGGTCAAATAGGGAAGCCTTGGGTTTTTGTTGTTTTTTTTTTTAATGATCTTTTTTACGGGTTCAATTTCATTCGTTACCGTATAGTATGGTATGTGATTAGGTTGGTATATATTTTTAATTGTATAGGCTGTATCGCTGAAATCCACATTCGTTCTGTTTCTGATAATTTAATTTCTTCAATTAATATAATGGGTTATGATAGGTACCTACTACCTATGTATATAGGATAATTTTTTTTTTTGTAATAGATGAATGACTAAAATAATAATATGTACATGCATATATTTAAAAATTAATTAAAGACTTAACCACGTATATAAGTATACAAACATAATATAACATAATATAATTTACAGAATGATCGTTATTTCAGGAACTTGACAATTAATTTTCGGCTGATTTTACGTTGTATTGAATGGAAATTTGTTTTAAAAGCAAGAGATATACATTTGACAGAAACGTTTCTAATCGTTAAATTTTGACTAATATTTACTTCCTAACTATGGTTCTAATAACAAAATTGAATTAACACGATGAGAGGCATTTAAAATCTAAATTTTAGTTTGTATTTTTTTAAACTATTAAAACGTTGTTTATCGAACAATTCTTAACGTCTTTAGGTATTAATATTACCTATAATCATTATTTATAATTTTAATATTGTAATACAATATTTAAAATAACTAAAATACTATTTAGTACATTATAGAAAAAAAAATAAAAAATATGTATATAAATAACATAATATATACGTAAATTTATAAGTACATACACTATTATATACACTGCACATACACTACACACGATTGTCGGCGTAAATCAACGATGATAATAATTATAAGTTACCAAGTTTTATGGTATTTAATATAGTAAGTCTGTCTGCAGTGGCGTGCTCAGAGGATTGGGTGTTATAGTAGTAATAATAAATTTTAATCGATATTGCGTGTAGGTAATACCAGACACAGGCATTAGGGGGGGGGGCGATATAAGATACAACACCTAACCTCATCACACGGGACACGCCACTGAAGTTTGCAGTCGAAGCGTTTGCTTCCGCCAAGTGCGTGCGTTATGTTACGCGCTGGCGAATAATAACTTATAATACTATATTTATAGACTTGGAAGTCGTCGCCGCGCGCACTTAATCGCTCAATAGAAGTCGTCGCCACCCGCAGCCTCGTGTTCGCCGTACTTCTTGTTGTCGGACAGTGTATCGTACTCGGCCTTGTGGTCGTGGTGCGATTTGTGGCCGGACTCGCCGCTGTGGCCCTTGTGGCCGTCGTAGTAGCTGCCCTTCCCGAACTGGCCGGCCGCGCCCTTGTGCGCCTCGTCGTAACCGGACTCGTGGTGACTGCCGTGCTTGTGGCCGCCGTCCTTTTGCGAGAAGTCCTTGTGCTTGCCGCCGTACTTGTCGACTTTGCCGTGCTTGTGCGCGTCGTCGTAGAACTTCTGTTCCTTGTTGTACTCGTCTTTGTGGTACACGTTGTGGAAGCCGGTCGTCTTGTGCCCCTTCTTGTGGTGCTCGGTCTCGCCGAACTTGTGACCCTTGACGCCGTGCGTGCCGCTCTTGTGCTTGCCGTAGTGGTCCGCCTCGCTCTTGTGGCCGTTGCTGTGGCCGGACGCCTTTTTGTAGTGGCTCTTCAGGTCGTCCTTGCCATATTTCCCGGCGTGGCCCTTGTCAAATTCGTGATGGTTCTTGTAGCCGCTGTCACCCAGCGTGCCCTGCGAGAAGTAATGGCCGGCCTTTTGGTACGAACCTCCAGCCTTTGAGTGTTTGCTCGGGGACTTGTACTCGTTGTGGGTGTAAGGCGAACCGAAATAATTCTGAAAAGTTCCATATATATAGTAAATCATCAGACGAAAACAATAATATCGCAGGCCGTTGCAACATTTTTCATATAGGTAATAATTGTAGTATATAGGTAATGACTATAATGTACGCGGAGGCGGATCCGGGGCCGCGGAAGGGTAATTTGCCTCACCTCCCCTCCGCCGACACCATAGTTGCCCTATGTTTTAGTGTGAGTTTTCTACTGCTGTACGGTAGTAGATGTCTGTAGTATTGATATAGTAAATTTTTTTGTACTTTTGTCCCCCTCATCCTCCTACTCAAATTAAGCACTGAATGTATAATGTTATAATGCATATAAAGTCTAGTACGTTTTGGTTTTACATGGGTGTTGTAAATAATACAGAAACGTGTACATTTATCGATTTCGAATTAGGTACTTTATGCTATGATTTTTCCTAAGTAAACATTTATGTATCAAACATAAAATATCATTTATGTTTTAGAAATTAATACCTTTGATGTGAACCTATACAATTATAGTTATACTATATGTATACACATGTATTATATTCATGTAATATATATATATATTTATTATGTGCGTTTCCACTGTATTTATTAATATCTATAAAATTCTATAAAAAAAAAATTCTATAAGTAGTTCCGAAATGTTATGATTTATTGTAACTGGATTTCTTTGATGAATTTTTTCAAATGTAAAAAAGATAAACTAAACATTTTCAATAAAGCTATTATTCTACTTCGTAGTTCGTTGATTTAAATACAATTATTGTACTAAAACTTATTCATATAGAGTTCAATAATTTTATCAATTTCTAGAACCGTTAGAATTTCGGAATAAGAAACCAGAAAATATAATAAAATGTGAACTTTTATTTAGCGTTAATATTTCAATACTCATAAGGAACCTATACTTACCTACATATAAATATGGACTAAAATGTAGAAATGAAATTTGGTTTGAAAAGAATTGAAACAATTATATAGTCGATAAAAATATAATATTATTTGTGCCATCATTATCCATCGCATAATTACATAATGTTCAGTTCTTAACAATGGATTTCAATTAAACAACGTAGTTTATATTATTGTACTCATATTATAATATATTTCATCAATTTATTTAGGTGCTGTAAGAAACAAAAATCCGGCGCTTGAAATTCACGTTAGGTATGTTAAATGGTTGACTCGCATAAATCACAGGTGTTTGAATGTACATTTTGTTAGGTAAACTTTTGGCCTTCGGAACCTTTGGAAAACGAAACTATGTAGGCCGAAAGAAAAACAAATGGGATAAAAATGCAAAAGCGTTAAAATATGTATAAGATGGAGAAAAATAGAAGTCATAAATCATAACAATGTTTAAAATGTCTGTCCGGGCCAACATGTGAGACGGTTTCGAATTGCATTCAAATGCAATCACTTTGAAATCTTTTATTCTTTCACCTTTTTGTATTTATCCAAAAGGCATAATGTTATTAAATATCGATTTATTTTTCATCCAATGCGAATAAATATTTATTTTTTAAAGTTTAATCTAACGAAATTCTTTCAAATATCATTTATTACACAAATAATAGCATTGAACAATGTAATTCAGCAATGCAATGTTATGTGTATTAAAAAAAAAAAAAAATGAAAAGTTCTTTAGTAAAACTAAAAACTTAGTTTTTTGTACTATGTTATAAATAGTATAAAATTATATTTTATTTATTGAATTCCTAATTAAATATGTAGTATTAGAAATAACAAAAAGTAAATTAAATACTAAAAACCAATTGTGTCCAAATACTCCAAATCGGAAAATGTTCAGTTATACGTATGCGTGTTGCGGCTATAGGCATGTCTTTAATTATTATACTCGTGTTATATTATTTTCAAAATAATATATTTCATCGGGCGTGGATAATATGATGTTATAAATATATAACAAATACATATTATAATATTTTGTACTATTTGACGATCGGAATCAGCTGTGTATAACAATACCTATATAATAGGTATCGCGATTGATCGGTTGCTATATTTATAATATTACCACTGTGTATTCTATAGTATATGTATACCAAGTTTGAAAACGTACATAACATAGGTATAAATAAATATTATAATATTAAAACGATGCACTGACCTGATCGTCGAGTCCGTGCACGTCGCCTTTTAGACCGTCGGAGGACACGTCACGGTGGTACTTGAACGGCGACGGTCCGAAGTCAAATGCGTCGCCGAAATCGTCGTTATCGAGACTATATCCGCCAACGTCCGATATTGGCGCCGCCGAGTCTTCCACGTCATCCAGCCCGTACTTTCCGTCATCAAAGTCGTCTGCCATTGGGTCACCGAAACGATAACTTGGCTTGTAACCGCCGCCGTCGATGCTGCGACCGCTGTTGTAGTGGACTGCAGCCCTCTCCTCGCCGACGACTGGTATGTGGTATGGCGATTCGTGTTTACCACCGACCACAGGCATGCCGTGAAAGCCGTTTTCCTTTTTGAAATCTATAATTATATATTATCGTCAGTGATAATCGCTAAATTACGTTTAGTTGACGGTATTGATGACCATATTGATAAGCCATATTATTGATKACCACATAATGATAAACCCTTAAGTACCTAATATACATTTTGAAGGTGATTGATTCTTTAAACTTTAAAAAAATAATACCGAAATGTATGAGCGTATTATACAAGATGATAATTTGTCAAGCATGATCACACCTATTTTTTTTTAATTACGAATTTATTCAGTTATGATTTTTCTGAATTTTTAAATATACTCAAATACTATGACTTAAAATTCTAGATTTTTTTATACTACTCAAAGACTAAGAACTGTACTTTGGCGATACAAACTTCGGCTTCTTTGAATGAAAACCTCCTTTTTTAACATAAGTTATTAAGTCTAAGTGGATATTGTTTTAGAAAATTTAGATGTACCTAATTCAAAATTTAAATTATAGTTATGATAATTATAATTATAATTTATTAATATAATTACTTAGTAATTAAAATGTTTGATTCGACTTTAAAAATGGTTTTACAAAAATATAAAATCCATGTTAAACTGAATCTAGTGTTTATTATACTTGAGCCATTTTCACAAAATTTTCTTCCAGTGACATACGAATACTTATAATAAAGGAATGTCAACAAAGATGGCATCAAAAGTGGACATCTTATTATACAAAATTAAACCACATAAAACATAACACTGACAATTGGACATTTCCCTTCGAAATCCATAGAAAATTCGTATAATAACCAGACTGAGAATAGGACACACAAAAATCTCCCACAGTTTTCTAATGTCCAGGGAAGAACCTCCAATATGCACAACCTGCGGTGTTCAAGTAACCATTAAACACATCCTCACCGATTGCCGAACATATCTCAGTACCCGTACAAGCCTCAACCTACCCGAATCATCACTTTCAGAAATATTAAACAACAATCCTGTATTTTATAAATCTATTACCATGGATATTTTATTATTTGGAACTCAAAATTAAATAACTCAAAAACTACGACGAATTTTGATTCCGATTCGTCAAAATTTTCAGTAAAATTGTTCACTGTTTAGTATAGAGTAAGTTTGTATTTTTATAGGATACTCCTTGAGTAATCAAAAAAAAAACCTCAAGAAATTGGAAATATAATCTTAAAGTATTGAGTAGGTATATTTAAAAATCCCAAAAATCAGATTTTTAAAACTGCATTATTGAAGAAAAAAGGGGTGAGGCATGCTTGGTGAATCACCATGTATACATGTTAAGACCTTCATAAGCAGCGCAAGATTATAATAGCAGTCAACATATTTTAAAAACAACCGAAAAAATGTATAGTAAATATTATTAGATGACTTTATTGTTTGATATTCGACGAAAATTTTGAAAATGTTTCACCGCTATATTTACACAGTTAGTAGCAAGTATATAAATATAGGTATAAATATAGCAGCACAGCAGTTTATCAGTACTTTTTTGGACTCAAATCACGCTTTTCGTGACATTGTTAGACAACTTTCAAAGTTTGTTAGACTTGATTTCTGATGCTAGACATTTCTTTAATTTTTGTACTGTTATCTTCACGGTAGCAGCATAAAAGTTTGTTATAGGACTTTTTCGTCTTGAACTGACTTTGAACTAATATTCAAACAGACTGTAAGACCGTAAGACCGTAAGATTTATTTATGACGCTAGAAAATTTTCAATTTTGACGCTACTTTATTGTCTTTATGACAATGGCACTGTTATAATATAATAATATGAACACAAAATATTGTCAGAAAAGGATAATTTGAAGCTTAATTCACTAAGAATAGTTACAATAGTAACCATAACCATACATGTACATGTAAACAATAATGATGTATAGGTACCTAGTTAGATATTTTTAAGACGGCATTAAAATTAGGTTTGAGACTGTAAAGGATGAATATTATATATTTTCTTGAAAATGTATTTGTATATGAGCTCGGTTTTTCCGGATACCACGATGTAGTACGCATAATCTTTCAATTAAATTTCGATCAGTATTATTCAGACGATAATTTAACGCTTTAACAAAAATTGCTATTACGAATTGCCGATAGACGGCTGGTAATAAGACGAGATTGATTGGTGTAAAGCGAGACAAAATAATTTATGAAAATCGAACATTTGCGACACGGACCAAACTGCGGATATATCTCTTTATGCTTATTGCAATATGGAATCGATATACATATCAACTGCGTGACTCGAATAATGGCAGTTCTGCAATAGCTGTAGGTATTCACCACTATCAATTTGTACACTGCTAAAAACTAACACAACTAATATAATATCTAAAAGTGTGCCACATTACAGTGTCGAAGTCTTCACATTGTATGTGTTTAGTATTATTTTCTTTACGTAATAGTAGGTACGTTACAAGTAAGCGTAATATAAAAAGTCAGGATTAGAGTTACTAGATATATCCAACATATTGTAATCTGACGTTTAAAATTATACATTATGATTCGTTTTAGCTGAAATATAAGTATTGATCGTCGACTTCAGTATTTTATAACGTTTTTGGAGCGACGAGTCAGGAATATAGTTTTTATTTTTTCATATTATTTCCGGGAAGCTCACTGCATCAAAATATAAACAATTATACCCACAACAAATAACACATGATACTCGTAAAACTGCAGAGAACTATCATGCGTTTTTGTTGTGAAAATAACTGCTGCAGGACCTACGACACTATATAGCGCGAGTTGCAGTGAGTGACCTTTGTCACAGATTTCATTGTGGCTAATCGGATCACTTAGGTAATTAATTAAAATGTATTTAATTGAAAAAAAATTAAACCAATGAAAATAAAAGGAAAAAAAAATAGTGGAAGTAAAAAAAAACACGAACACAAAAGGGCCCCTTGTGCGCGGTTGTCTCGACGACAATAATAATCGATTCGGGTCACCTGGACCGCGGCGAAACTCGTGAGTCGACAAATCGTCATTTATTTCGTCAAGGGCACGATGATCGTCGATCCGCGAACTGCGAAGTATATTCAAGTTCAACCGGCTTAACAGAGTAACAACAAAGATTACGATTTATTTAATTACGTATATATTATTATAATATTATAAATAAATAGTAATACACGATGATGAAAAGTGACGCGTGCTCTCAACCGCTCCCCTCCCAACGAATGAACGATAGCACGGCGAACGTTATTTAAAAAAAAATATATATATATATTATATAATAATTTATGTAGCTATTATATAATATTATCACATCACTAACAGGTAATTTTATTTTATTTTAACGCGTTCAACTTTCGTCGAGGTGGAGTAACACTTTGTCCCTTAACAATAATTACAGGTGACCCGCCAGAGATGTATTGGTTGAGTGATAAAAAACGACTCCGGAAACGTAAAAATATAATATATTATGTAAAATCGTGATAAAAATAAAACCCTATTGGTGGCGATGATCTTCTGGAAAAACACGTGAACTGCCGGCGGCTAATTTATTACATTATAACCACGTTGACTAAATCAACGGATTAGTCGCCATATATCATTACGCATTCGTCCACCAACCCTTTCTCTTTCCCTCACGACTCATTAATTAAGTTCCGGACGTCTCATCTACGCGTCGGTGATTATCTCCACCAGTCTGTAGTATCGGTTAAAATTACTTTGTTTTAAATGAGATTGGATAGTCCCATCATTTTCAAGGGACTATAATATATTATATGCGTACACTGAAAATCTAACATAAGATAGTTTTCAGAGTGGGGTGGAAAAAAAAGGCCTCGCCTCGTCCACCGTATGTGTACAAGAAAATTATGTGTATCTACTATCTACCCGTTGAGATAAATTCATAATGCGTGGCGTATATAGGTAATATTATAATTACGAATTAATTAACTAATTAATAGGTAAGATGATTAATTTACTGAAATATTATATTAAACTATAATCTTGAATAAAGTGTTTAATGATCAACGGATTTTATAATACATCAAATATCAAAACGTACAAGTTAAATAAATAGCACTGAAAACAGGCGCTAGTAGGTATACATGTAGTATTTTGTTCACCTTCGTATTCCTTTTATACTGGCCGTTATTTTTATCAGGAAAAAAAAATATAATAAGAGCGCAAAAGTATTTGAAATTTTTAGAATCAAAAATGAATATAGTCCAAATAAGATAAGCTGTATAATGTAATAATAACAAATGTTTATTACAAAAAAAAAAAAATAAAAATAAAAATGGTATAGGTATAGTATAACGATTAACATAAGTTTCGTCCTCAAAATAGGTATAGGCTAGTAGCGTTCAAAATGCTGCAATATTTAAGTATTCACTTAAATAATTGACCATTCAATATCAAAAAATATAATTCATCACAATAATCATTAAAAATCGATTTGTTATTGTTATTTKTCTATTTATTTGCCGTCACAAATACAAATTTAAAATAACAAAAATTATTTTAAATTTAGTTATTGTAGTACTTATAACTTATTCGATTGACTTTTACAAAAACTTAATTTTGACAAACTTATTACATGGCAAATCTTATTGTTATTACTTATTATTTCTCATTATATTATATCCATCGTATAAATTATTATTATCTGATATTATAAATTAAATATAATTAGTTTGATGCCACAAAATATGCATTTCGAAAGTTTGCAATATTGTATTTTATTTTAACTAGCATTTTAAATGATAAAATATTTAATTTTTTTTATTTGATTATGTGATATTCCATAAAATTGTAACGGAATCAGTAGGTACCGACTCTATTCAGAATCTCGAGTCGCAAATAATATGCGTTAAAAATATTAACCTGATCAAAACATGTAATTTTGGGACGCATAATCTGAGGTATAATATATAATCTTAAACTTTACCTATATAGGTTTTAATATTATAGAATAATAATCGAATAATGAGAATAAAGTTACATCCGAAATAATTTACATCATAAAATAAAAATTACGAACATTTGAGGTTTTTTTTTTTCAAAAATTCTAATCCTTGACGTGGACCATAATTTATTACATAATCAATACCGTTGTACACATCACGTTGTTAAAATTTTAATAATTCAAAATTGTAACCACAGTTACTCTAAGCTTGAATGCTAATACGATAATGTATGTCGCAGTTGTGTACCTGCTGGTATTTTATTCGAACAAATATGATTAACTTTAYGTCATTTTGAAAATGGCACAAATTTATGTTATTTTAAAACTATCGAGCAATAAATCAAAGAAGTTCGGGAATAAAATAATCATTTTCATACCAATCAGTTTTATTTGATGAAATAAATGATAATGTAGGTATCTAAACTCTGAAGAAGTCTCAGATGTGACTATTGATGGTCATTTTTGTCATAATTAAATATTTCACAGAAATCGCAGCGAATGGACAAAATGTGAGCCAATTAATCGAGATAATATTTAACGTAACAAATTAAATTGCGTGGACCAATGAAATAAATAATAAAAAATATATAATATGTTAACGTTATACTTTTATTACTGTTTATATATATATTTTTTTAATTTTGAATATAATACTTTAAGTTGTGTTATAAATGATATGCATTATTCACGAGGCATATTTATTTGAGAATGTATTCTTGTCATAGTTTAAATAAATAATTTTAAATCTTACATTTTTCAATCTTGACATCGTTATTCTTACATGCAGACTTAAAACAATGTCGAACGATTATTATTATCAAAAGAAAAATGACTTTAAATTTCATTATTTTTGGTTACAAAAATGAGCTAAGTACGGTACTTTAAATAATTAGATAGTTTTTAATTTTCAACTAAACAATTTGCAATAGAAATGTAGTATGTATACTATACAATTAAATGGTATCCAATAAAAAACAAAACTTTTTATTCGTTGAATTTATTCTGTAATATAGTTTGTAAGTTATAAAGACCTTTAGATATTTACATAAATGCTCGAATACCTACCTTCAATAAAACTAAATTTAATTTCGTCTGTGTGCATACATTTTGCTCGTTACATTAAATATTTCAAAATTCAAAGTATGAATTTTTTTTCATTTTACATACAAATGATGAATTATTAATAAAAATATCGTTTTGTCAAGTTTGAGCTTTTGGTAAGAAACACCGAATAGCATTTTTTATTAATGTTGAATGCTTATATATTACATGTATACGTATTATAGTATTGAAAGACTAAAAAGCATTAAAAACATTAAACTAAAATATTAATTATTTTATTGAGTTCGTGTAAACAATCAATTCTGTACATGTTTATGAAATTATATTAAAATGGGTCGGAATAGGTTGGTGTTAATACGTTTTTCTTTTCCCTAAGATTTTTAGGAAAAACATTTAAACACATTTACTTGAGATTTTGGTAACACGCGTGATGCGTATGACTATTAATGATTAAGTTTCCTAAAGTTTTACACGTGGTGGTCTGTGAATTGAATTTTTTACTTAAAAAGCTTACAACACAAAGTTTTCAAATTATTTCTGATTCAACCAAAACTTGTACAATAAAATTCTCATATAACCAACGATAAAATTATGATGCTCTGCAGTAGGTATATTTGATACAATTTTCAGTACACGGGGAATGTTTTGCATATTATTGTAGCAAAAAGGCAAATAGTTATTGAAAGTTTTGGTTTTTTGACTTTGAATATATATAACTTGAAAAGTGTCTATTAAACATTGAATTTGTATGCGGAACCTGAAAAATGTAATGCATGCATTTCACGTGTACCTATTAAAATCTTTTTATTTTTTCGATTGATGCGATTGTTCATCACATTATTCATGTTTTCCAATACACTGCAATAGTTTATAGCGTTTTATCAACAACTAAAAGTTCTATTTTTTTTTTTAAAAATATTTTGAAAATGTTTATAATTATTTTACTAACTATCGATATAATTAGAGATTCTATTGTATTTTATATTACATATACAACCTAGAAATCAAAAAAAAAACTTCACAAGTGTGTTGCTTAAGAAAACCTGAAACATTTCAATGATAAAATGTTTTTGTATTTTTTTTTGTTGAGCAATATACCTTTATTCAATTCAATGTAATTTAATACTACCTATATTACATTGTTTATGAGTACATCAAATTGTGTAAAAGCTTCAAAGTTTTTTCTTACTTTCCAGTATGGCATTGAAGTTTTCATTGTTGCCTTCTCCAAGCTTAATTAATATCGGAGGGTTTTGCCCATCCGTCCTGTATATGTATCCCGAAGCTGAGGTTTCTAGGTCTTGGACTTTACCGTGTTTCTCCATGTAAACTTCTCTAGTTTTTTCACCACACACCACTGTTAAAAAAATCGAAGTCGCATAAACGATAAATACAACTAGAAGATTCATTTTTAGTTAAAAATTAGCAGATGTCTTGTTTATAAACTTTCGAACTGTTAACAATTTTTGTTTTATATAAATTATATAAATTATTATTTTAATGTTTTAAATAAATAATTATTTTTAGACATTCAGCAAAACTATATGAAAACAATATCCATGTGTTGCTGATGGTGGACCGGCCGATCGTATATAAAGCGATCGACATCCAACCCTCTCTCCTACTTTTTGGAAACCGATTACAATGGCGGGGCGTGCAGTGATAGTCCTTGGAGTTATGACTAATAGCTCAACAGGTATAGAAACTTGAGGACCACTGAGATGGATGGCCACCGTGTGTGTGGTTAACGGTAGGGAAAAATAGTATGTAAACACAATGAGGGTTTTTGTTGTTCTTTCGTAAACCGAAGATTCCATTTACTCTAATATTATTGTATATATATATCGGACGGTGACAGTGACAACGAGTCCTTGAATTTTCAACGGTCTAAAATTCCGAACGTCATTGGTGTTATATAGGACTGCAGTATATTGGTTATATGTTATACATACCATATAGGAACGTATAGGTACTTTAAGTGTTACGTAGATGTATGCGTTGATGTTCGGTTACCGTTTTGGTTTCTAATCATATTTGCAAGTATATCGATCGTACTCGTGTTTGATAGTTCAACAATACGTCATATCTTGAGAAATGGACGGTGTATTAGGAAATTAAACAAATTAAATATTATTTTCAAAAATTTAATTTCCGTCAAATGGCTGTCAATTAATATGATTGTTGGTAATGTTTATATTTTATGCGAGTTTGAGTTAAAAATCTAACAAATCGTTCTACTGTTAAGGAGACTTCGAATGTAACTCGTCAGTCGTCACTGGCTCACTGCAGAGTAGGTTACCTACTGTTGTAATAGTTGTATTAAATTTGAATTCGATGACAAATCAATGCTAAGTAAAACGATTCTGATCGAAGACAGTAAATATCAATGCGTAAAGTTTTAATTTTTATGAATATATTTTTATTTTATAACTTATTTACTTAGCTTTTAGTGACATTTATTATTAATTTATCAATATTAGACATGTTGAACAAAATATATGGGCTAAAAATATTGTATACATTTTATTTTTACTTAAATTTATAGGTTATATCCGTGTATTATAGAACGGGTTGAGTAGGTTCGTGTTATAAACAGCTTAATAGTGTATCATAATATGTATATCCGATTTTGTCAAAAATAGAACTTAAATGTCTTTAAAAAATGTTGTAGATATCTTTTTTTTATGTTATGTTTTTAACTGTTAGAAGTGCAACCAGGGCCCCACATCAAATTCTGAGCCCCTATACTAAAGTTTGTCCGGATTCGTTAACAAAACTTCCAGTAATATATTATCATAAATTATTAAAAATCAAAATTCAAATGCATTTTTATAAAAATAATGTTCTTTCATTTCTTTTTCATTAAAATTTTAACTAAATGGAAAAAGAAAAAAGTTTATTTTTTAAGTTAAACTGTTGTTTTACAGGTTTTAAACACAGTAAACTTAGTATGATATCGTCGAAATTTATGAAGTCAATTATTCAATGCATTCTCCAAAGATAAAAGATAAATTGTCTTAAAATATCAAAATATCCGAATTACTAAATACGTATATATATATATATATATATAATAAAATATATTTTATCACATTATTTAATATAAAAACAAGTATTCCTAACTCATATTAAAATGTAAATGGTTAAAAATTCATTTCAACGGGCCCCTAGTATGTACAACTTTTGTAGAACCTTGTATTAAATTTTAAATATTTTTCACCATGCATAATATATTTTTTATCATCGTTTATTAAAAAAAATCGAATATTTCAAAATTTTTAAATAAATAGGCAATGATCACAAAAAATAATTAAAATTAAATAAGACAACATTATTACTATTATAGAAAATATATTTACTACAACTTTCAAAACGTTTTATTCGTTTTTGAATTACAATTAAAAATATATATATATATACATATATAATAATAATGAAATTGATTTTTCCAAATACGTGTGTTACATTACATATATTTTTTGTGTTCCCAATTATTTTTAAAAGTTCTATGAATTTTTTCCAACCAAAGTATACCATTTAAATCCAATTAAATACCAGAAACCGCACTCTCAAGAGTTGAAGATTGAAGTATTTTTGTCGGCCCAAAATGTGATGACAGACACACAAAAATAAATCTAAGTAAAGACATTATTATTGTAAAATCAAAACATTCATTACGGAGTTTAAAATTACTATTGTTATTATAGGAGTGACACCAACAAGTCTATCGTGACTACTTTTTGTCCTCATTTATAATTATAATAAACGAATAAATACATTTTTTTTTGGTTAATTTATTAAATCGTTGAAAACTCGGAGGTCGATCTCGCAAGTCCATTAAAGGCGGCTACTTTTGCTGTTCTAGTATAAAGGCGTATCGATATGGTGAAATATTAGTTATAGAGTCGGTAATGCCATTATTATCGCTGTATATATGGTATAATGAAATGGCATGTGGCCCATGGAAACGGCACCTAAGTAAAATGTTCGAGTGTATCATTTTGATAAGTATCGGACACATTGATTGATATTTATTATTATATATACATAGTATATATACAGTTTATATTCAATATATTATACGAAACACTCGCCGCAATAATGTATTACACGTCGCCTTGCGTATTATTTACCAATTATTTATTACCAATGCCAACACCAGATTAACAAATAATAATGGTCTCTCTTTTTTATTTTCATATCAAATTGGTTAATATTTTCATAAATTTTCAACACATTCATAGTATAGCATAAATTGTTTTTTTCTCGATTGTTATTCATTATATTATTATATTATTATTATGTTAGATATATATAGGAATACATTATTTTATATTATACACTTATAATGGGTTCAATCGACTTATTACAATCGGATAMATGCCAAATACGAGTAAAATAATATAATATAATAACTTATAACGCTGAACATACGCACCAACCGACCTTATATCCGATTGTGAATAAATATAAAATATTATGTTCACTCCCTGCAGAGTGTATGTTATCGATTAATACTAATTTTGCTATACAATATTTTTACCAGATCGTTTAGATTTTGCCAAGGAATATGCTTATAGTTTATTCATATAAAAAATTATTTGATCAATATATTTTTATTTATTTTTAATCGTTTAAAAACTACTTTCGTTAAAATAATTGATCTTATATTTGAATAGTATTTAAAAATAATTTTAAAATTTGAATATTAATGTTAGCTAATTTATAAGTTTACACGGCAACAAAATTTGATATTTATAAAAAATATAAACTATTTACTTTAATTTTACAAAATGTAATATAATAATGAACAAAAAGTTTTTATTTAATTATTAATTATTTTGGTTACTTTAAAACATAATGCAAGTATTTTTTATGAATATCATATGAATTTATTTTAACTATCTTAAAATGAATTTTTTTCGGTGAACTCGATAAATATTTTGGATAGTGAGGAGATTATTTAATACTTAAAAGTGACTCCATAATCAACAGTTACAGCATTATTATTAAAAGTTTTTGGTTGTAATGTAATTTATGTATAGGCAATTATTTGTAACCGATGTTTATGCAATACATAATTTTGTATTTGACTCTTGAAATGTTAATGGTATTATTATTTAATTAATCAATAAAACAGATCTTTTTTAAAATACATTATTTTTAAACCAAATAAACGACTATCGGCTTTTAATTAATATTTATTGTATTAAAAGTTAAAATTAGGATATTAAATGTATATTTCTATTTCTAAAATAAACAGGTAAATTTGAATATTATTTCCAGAACATTTTCACTTTTAAGTTACGTTGTTAGTAATTTATATATTTTGGTAATTTGCACTTCCATCATGGTTATGATTATACCAAGGGTACTTATATGTATTAACATCAGCCAAAAGCTCGGAACCCACGAGACAGATAATATTCAATAAGGGAATTTTAAGCTCGAACATTAAGCTTTACGTTTAATTTTAAAATAATTAAAATGCAGTATGTGTTGGTACTAGGTATTTATAATTTATCAATACGATGGGTTTTGTTTGTTACTGTATTATGCTTATGGCATAAAATAAAATACATTTCATTTTGAGGTTGCTCAATCCTGTTTTATGTTATAATATTACTAAAATATACTAAATGAAAAAATACAATTAAAAATATACTTTGAAGTAGAGTGTAAAGTTTAATGATACAAGTTCAATTATTATTTAAAACATAATTATTATAAATTATAAAATAATTGTATTATTATTATAAAGTTTATTCATTAAACAAATTTAAATATTTTTCTACAATTATTCTCGAATATATGGCACAAAAAAGTATTAAATATTATTTAAATATCTTGTAGATATTGCTATAATATGCCCACACATAATGCTGTACCTAGTATAATATTAAATTATACATTTAGAATACGGTGTAAAATTCAGAGATTTAATAGGTACTATAAATAATAGGTTATTGGAGATAAGTATATTTTATTAACATTAAGTGTTGTATATAAGTCGGTCTCTGGCAATTGAATATAAAGTAATAAAATCAAAAATAATTTTGACAAAGATGGTGAGATGTCAAAATAAATGTCATAAAGAAAAATTATTTAATGTAAATACGTGAGAAAAAATGTCAAAATGAAATCATAACTGAAGGAAATGAGTTAGGTGATGCGTAAAATTTGGCTCACATAGTGTCAAAAACGGAACTTTTTACTGTCTTCCCTGAACTCTTCAACACATACACGCACCTCACCCGTTGGCCACCGGTTTCTTTTAATTCGATCGAAATTTTTAACTGGCTTCATACCAGGATATCATGCCATGTTAATATATTGAAGGTGAAGCTTAACTGGCGAAAATTCCTTATAAACGAACAATTGTCTGAAATCAAAATGGGTTTTACAAAATAAAGAAAGCGTGCATGATATATTCATGGTGTGCGCAGGATATAATGTTGGGAAAAAAAATATGCTATCACAAGTACACCGTACAATTGATTAAGTTAACTTAAAATCTAGA